TTGAATTTTAGAGTCCGCATGTTATTGAAAGGCGCAGTAAGGTCCCAGAGTAGGCCTTTTCGTGCAGCGTGAAACATGCTTAAACAGATAAGTAAGTGAATTGTAATTCATTGTAATCGGAATGTTAACGAGTCAAGTAAAATAAAAATGATTTTCCAAGGGGTAATTCTCAACTGAACCTCGTAGTGTAGTGGTATAGAAGAGAGACTGGTGAGCGACAGGTATGCTAAAGGTAAGTGGTTCGAGACCGGCAGGGGCCCAAGACAAATAAGAAGAAAAATGCACAAGGAGCCTGGGCAATATGGAGAAGAAAAAGAGAGAAGAATGGAGCTAAAGGAAGGAGAGAATTGGCGAAAAGACAACGCGCAACAGCGCGCAATGAAATCCTCTTTTATCCATGCAGTAAGTAGTAATTATCAATGTATAAATTCAATACCTTAGGGAGTTCCTATTGTCTTCAAAAACAATAGAGCGCATACATAATTAATCATTCTGTATGCATAATAAATGTATGGGGTTATACGGAAACCTTTCCTTGTAATTAATGGTCAAATCCCTGACCGTGGCCTCGAAATTGAGAATTTCCCTTCCTATGCTAAAGGTTTGTCTTCGTAAAATCGCTATCTGATCTTATGTAAATCACAAGACAGCTTCGACAATCCAACTTGCACGGTAAGCCGTCATATTTTAAAGGGAGTTGTTTACTGTCTCACCTCCCATACTAATTGTTAGTAAAGCGATCAAAAGTGCCAGGTTCTAGTTTTGCCGTCTTTAATTGTTTTGTACTAGAGTTTCCTAAATTTGTGCGGCTTTAGCTGGTTTTCTTGACAAATTTGCTCAATTCATACTGGCACGTTTTCGTATAATTGCGTTTGGGTAGTTTTATTTTTAAGTGTCGATTTTCGTTTACATACCAAGAATGAGTAGCCAATCAGGTCTTATAGTTTTCGTCTCATAGCCCACTACAGAAGATATAACAATTTTTAGTATCACCCAACTAGTGGACTAA